TCCTCGCTGGCGGGCTCGCCGCGGCAGGACGCCGCCGCGGGCCCCTCGCCCGAGCCGCCGCGCGCCGAGCGGGCGCATCCGGGGGCGAGGGCAGCGGCGCCCCGGCGACGCGCACGGCGGCTGGCGGCCTCGACGTCCCCGGAGGCCTGAACGTAGACCGGGTCAGCGTCGCCGAGGCCGTCTGGGCGCGCGGCGGCGCCGCGGGCGGCCGCGCCCGCGCCAACATCGGCAGGCTTCCCGGGCGGCCCAGCGGCGCCTGGCCCCGCCGCGCCAGACTTGGCCCGAGGCAGCAGCGGCTGGGGGGTCGAGGGGGAGAAACGCCCCCTCGAGGGGTTGTCGGCTGCATTCCACTCTGAGGGCAGCCAGCGGTAGTGGAGGGTGGTGGCAGTGACAAGGGTGACGGCGGCGATGGCCTGAGTGACTCGGAGCATTTTGCAAGAACTGCTCCTGAAACGATCCACGGCCCCGGCCGCGCTCAAAGAGTCGCCCAGCACCACGACGCGCCGGCCACGGTGCCGCGAGGCTCTCACGAGATGCTGGAGCCCGTGCAGCACGGCCCTCGCCTCGGCGACCGGCATGCTCTCCTCCGGCCAGCGCCAGCGGTGGCGCCCCACGGTGCGCCAGGGCAGCTTGATCACGTCCGGCGGCACCTCGTCGAACGCGCTCCCGGCGGCCCCCTCGGCTGCGCCGGCGGCCTGGGTCTGGGGGTTGTGACTATGGAGGGCGGAATCCTCCCCCCCCAGCCCGTCGCCGCCGGCATGCCGCGGAGGAAAGCCCGCGGCCGCGACCGCCTCCGCTCCCAGCATCCACGGCGCAGCGTCGGCGGGATCGCCCGCCAGCGCGGCGGCGGCCGCCGCGGCCCCCGCGTGCCGGCGTGGCGCGGAGCCGGCCAGCCCATGGTGCCACCTCCAGCGCTCGGAGACGTGGCCCAGCCTCTGCACCAGCGAAGCGGGGGCAGGGGCAGCGCAAGCCCCGATGCCCCACTCGCTCGCGTCGACCACGATGAGCTCGTCAGTCCAAGGCGAACGGAGGCTGCGCCACAAGAGGGGAGCGATGCCGTCCCAGTACTCCAGCTCACGCCGGACAGCAGGCCAAAGTCCGGTCTCCTTGTCATAGCACTTGCGGACAAAGGCGTAGCAGCTCCAGAACAGAGACATGCCCTCGCGCTTGATAAGAGATATAAATACCAGGTGCCCGAGGAGCTTCTCGAGGTCGCGTCCCCGAAGACGGCCACGGCCGAGGACACCTCGAACGGCCAGGCGCGCACGCCACAGCCGGGCCCGCGTGGGCCGCACGATGCACCGTCCTCGGTCAATGCACCACCCCAGCGCCTCCGACTCACCAGGCAGCTCGCCAGCATGGTCCTCGGCCTTCACCTCGAGCCCGCGGGCGCGCAGCGCGTCAGACACGCGCCGCACGAGCGCCGCCACCCACTCGGAGTCGGTGCCGATCGCGATGAAGTTGTCGACGTACTCCAGGTGGGCGCCCGGCGTCATCGGCGGCGGCGGCCGGCGGTCGACGATCCGCTGCTCGGGGCAGGCGCCGGCCTCGACGCTGGTGCGCTCATGCACGCGCTGGCACCACCACAGCGCCCAGCTCCACCCCATCGGCAGCACGGCCAGGCGCGGCGTGACAAGAGCGCCCCGCCCGAGTGGCTTCCCGCCGAGGAGCTTGATGCCAACCGCCGAGGCGCGCACGGGTCGGAAGGAGAAGTACCCCCTCAGCTCCTCAGGCAAGCCCATGTGGTAAAAGGCGTCGCTGAGGTCGGCACCCTGGATGTGGAGCTCGTCGTTGAGGCCCAGCTCCAACCTCGAAAGGGCATCGCCCGTGCACAGGCTCACTCCGGCCGGCTCAGCGAACCAAGCGTTGGCCCTCCGGCAGTCTATCACCATGCGCAGCCTCTGGTCTTTCTTCTCCACGAAGAAGGCCTCGACGGACTCGATGCCAGACTCGGCGAAGTCGACGAGGCCACGCTCTTGCAACATACGAATGAATTCCTCATACGCACCCCGACGCCGCAAGGCTGGGTCAGAGTACGCCCGCTCCAGCCCCACGCCCTGCAGTCGCTGCTTCGCCCTCTCGGAGCACAGCAAATTCTGTGATATAAAATCCTTCGCGGTGTCACTCCCGCCGCTCCCCCACAGAGTCTCCAGCGGAATCGGCCGAACCGTGCCAGAGGGCAGTGAGATCGCGTCGGGGCGGTAGGATCCGAGCTTGGCAGAGTCCACGTCGTACCAGCTCGCCACGCGAAGCTTCCGAAGAGCCTCTGCGGGGGTGAGCCCCGGGGGCGGCGCTCCCAGGGCCCGCGCCGACTCCTCGACGAAGTCGATGGCCTCGCGCTGCGCGCGCGAGACGAAAGCACAGGCTGGCGCGCCCTGGCCAAGAGCCGGCTGAGGCGCATGCGAGAACATCCCGTTGAGGCTGCGCACCGCTCGGTCACAGTCCAGCTCCATAGCAGCACGCGCGCCAACCCGCTGCCGCACCGACCTGCTAACAGCGCCTGTCTCCCCGGAGAAGGCGCCGACTGGCCGACGTGGCAGAGGAAAAAGATCGCGAGGAACATGGCGGTCGTCACCCGCGTCAAAACTGCGGCCACCAGCGAGGGGCGGCCTGGGGCTCGGCAGGCGGCTGGACCCCGCCCCTGAAGGGCCCAGCCGGCGCGAGTCAGGAGTCATTTCTCCTTGGGCCCTTTGCGGAGGGCCTCCCGCTCTTCTCGTGCAACTCTCAGGTTCTTGGCCAGCTTCGCCTCCCGCTCCACCTCGGTGCGGACGTAGTCCAGCAAGTCCGGGCAGATCATGAGCGTTGACGAGGCCCTCGTGGTCCCAGCGAACGCGTGCTGCTCCTCCAACGACATCTTCCCCTGGTAGCTCTTCGACTCCGCCTCCCTCGCCCGCTCGGAGTGGCCGAACTCTATCGTCTGGAGCCGCCGGAACTGGTACTCGACCATGATCAGGTTGCTCCCGTCCAGCTGGTCCACCAGCAGCCCCTGGGTCAGGGCCTGGCAGATGTTGAAATGCTCGAAGACCCCCCACGAGTTCCAGTCGAGACGGCAGGCCGTCTTGAAACGCTCGTGGTGGCCCAGCAGCCCGCTCCCCTCCTGGTTGATGAACTCTATGCACCACAAGCTCGAGCGCGGCCCCGGCAGCTGCCAGTCGGCCCCGAAGCTCTCCTGCTTCAGGACGGCCGTCATCTCCGCCCAGGTCCGCTCCCGCTTGTCCTGGCGGTTGCGGCGGATCGGTGTGATCCGAGCATCCGTGGCCACCGCCCGATCGAAAAACTCGGCCTCGTCGGTTGGGTCGACGTGCTCGACGAAGATCCCGACGCCATCCGGGAGTACGTGGATGTCCCGCTTGCCGACGGCCAGCCCGCTCCTCGAGTGGTCGGTCACGACGTCGCCGTGCCGATAGGGCCCGGCCGCCATCGCCGCCCGCCACTCGGCGACAGGAGGCCCAGCGGCAGCGCCCGGCGCAGCCCCCTGCAGAGGCCCGATGCGAGCAGCCCGAGGCGCGGCCGGAGCCCCGCCCGGCACCGGCAGCGGCCGCAGGAAGACGAGGTTCGCCAGCAGCCTCGGATCGCCTCGAGCGGCGGCGATCCGCTGGCACTCGGCCTGCGCCTCCGCCTGGGCGTCGGCCAGCGCCCGCGCCCGCTCCTGAGCTGTCGGCTGCTGCCTGAAGCGGTACACCCGCCCAGGAGGCACCCCAGCGGGCACCGCGGCCCACGCCCCGGAGAAGCGGACGGCGGCCACGTCCACGCTGTCGTCCCCGTAGTCCTCCGCGTAGACGTCGCCGTCTGGGGTCAGGACGACGTAACTAAAATCCGACAACCCCACGAGCCCCAGAATCAGCCTCTGGTGCCACAAGTGCTCGTCGTCGGCGTACAGCACGAAGGCCCACTCCCTCGCCCTCGGCGGCGCCGCGGCCATCCTCGCCCTTCGTCAGGCGCTTGGCGCAGCTCAGCCCGCCGCGCACCACCCCCTGGCCGAGCACGGCGAGAAGACACCCGAGCACCACGCCGAGCACCAACCACCACCCCGGCCCCAGCCCGCCCCAGGCCGGAGCGCCGGCGCGCTCGACCTCCGTCGGCGCGGGGCAGCTCTGGCTCTCCGGCGGGGGCCAGGCCGGCGCTGCCGGCGCGGCGGCCCCGCCCGGGCAGCTCGGGCACGCCGGGCACGGCGGGCACGAGCACGAAGCCAGTGCCGGGCAGGGCGGGCACGCCGCGCAGTGGCAGTCCGGCACCGCGGGGCAAGCGGGGCACCGCGACAGGTATGCGCCCGCCACGCCGCCCGCCCACGCCAGGACTCGCACGGCGAAGGGCCCAGCCATGCGGGAGGCCCGACGCCCTGCTTTGCTTTGAGCCACCGTGTTTACGGATGAGACCAGAGGCAAACGAGGACCTCAGGACGAGCGGCCTTCACCGAAACGCGTGCCGAGATTTCCGTACAAGTACAACGCATATATATATATATATATATATATATATATATATATGTATGTGTGTGTATGTGTATATATATGTACGTCTTTATTATTTATCTCTCTCTCGTGTCCTCTCTCTCTCTGTTTTCGTTTCTCCTTCGTATGTCTTTTAATCCTGGTCGTTTGTGTGATCACCGGGCAGTCCTTTGGTCTGTCAGATCTTCACCCCGCTCTTGCGTGACTTCCTGCTTCTACCCTCGCACGCATTCAACGTTGCACTGCCAGTCTGTTTTCGCTGCGCTTGCTTTTTTTTCACCAAGCGCAGGACAGTTCTCACTCTGCCTCGTTGCCCCGTCTCACTGTCACCCTACCTGAGAAAAAGACTCGCGTTGTGTCCCTCTTGGAAGCATGCAATCGTAGGTGCATTCGCGCATGGACAAGTGCATTATCTGCGCGCATCCGTCTGGGCTTGAATCTGCACATGTATGGGCTCAGATGCATGCATGGGGTCCGTGCGTGCACGCGACTGCGTGCGCGCTTGGCACAGACCGACGTCAATCACTGAAGGGTCGAACACCAAGGGGCCTGCTGCATAGTGGCGCGTTTTTCCTTATTGACAGTCAACAACTTCTCAATGAGGTCTCTTGCTTCTTTGGAAATGTTGTACTTGTCGAAACCTGGTCAGTTCTTGCACAGAAGACAAGAAACACACCAGTCCTGCTTCTCTGATAAGAGAAACTAAAAGTAGTGATCCGAATGAGGCCGAGGAGGAGGCGGAGGAGGAACATGATGGGGAAAACAATATCACCACCAATACTAACACCAACCAGATGAAAGACAGGTAACGGATGGGAAAAGGGCAAACGGGCAGTTGGAGCTGGGTTGGTTGGATGGGATACAGTTTAGAACTTCCAAGTGCCACCTCTCTCTCACACACATTTTTCTTCACGCTCGCACACGTCCGAACATATGCCATACCTCAAAGCGTGTTTCTCCATGCACGTCTCGTAAACAATTTCGTTACTATTGCAACCGCGCGGCCTGAGATCTTCTTCTTCCTCCACTACCTCCCAGACGTGCTTGTAGCAGAGATCCCGAACGGGCCCAAGGGAACGTGAAATCCCCCCAAATGGCAAAGTTGGTCAACCGGGGCCAGAAGGCTCACTTTAGACCCGCGGGTTCAGCGATTGGCGAATGCCGGGCAACGCCCAGAACCGCTGGCATAACTCGGCGTAGTCAAAAAGCTTCAGAACATTGCCTATTCGGATGCACTGTAACCGCTGAAACCACTTCGTAACTGCCAACTGGTGAGCTATGCAAGCGTTCTCCGTGTCGATCACATGCGGGCCCACTGGAGCGCTGGCTCTCCCAGAGGTGGCGCTGCAGCACAAGTCACGTCCGCCCATGCTGCTCCGGGGCGCAACATTCACTGTTCAAGGCTGCATGCTGCTTGCAACGCTTGTCATGACAAGAGAGACGGAGCTGGCAAAGGTGGCCTCTCCAAGTCAACTTCCCTGCGCAGATCTTGTGGCGGCTTTTGCTTCCATGCGGCACGCCGATGCCGGAGAATCACAGTAAGGAGCGACAGTGGCATCCGGGGTTAGAGTAGCAAGCGGCAAGACATACTTTGTGTGATCGTACGCGCGGGCCGCAACAGACGCTCAGACATCGAACCCCTCGAATGCTGCATCGTCCGTGTATCGAGCGCATGGGCCGTTGCCGGAGATGAAAGTCGAGACCACTCCTGGTCCACCGCGTGCTCCGTCTCTCCACCCCCGAAGAGCTGCACCGAACGTGCGGTTGCGGTCGCGCCCTCGCGGGGCGTCGTGCGGCCCAGGGCGCGAACGCACGGCGCAGGGCAGGCGCCCCGCCTTCTGGAGCGTCTCCTGGTCGTTCTTCCCCTTGAAGGGCAGCATGCCCGAGAGCAGGACGTGCAGGATCACGCCGCAGCTCCACACGTCCAGTTCCTCGGCAAGGCGAGGGGGAGACGCGTGCGAAAGGGAAGCCCTGCTATGAGAAGCCCATGGGGCCCGATGGCCGCCGATTGTCGAGCTGCCCGGGGTGCCCCCCAGGGGCGCCGCGGGTCCAAAGGGCCATCGGGGGAGGAGACAGTCATCCTTCCCTACAGAAATGAGAAGAGGCCCTGGGACACACAAGTGAATAGACATAACTCCCAGGATTCCCCATGTTTTGCCGTATTTCCTGGAGTTTCGTCTTCCCCCCACACTTCCCATGTGTTCCCCTATTTTCCTTGGAATCGACGATTCATTGTGCCTGTGTGATTTTTCCCCTCCTGAAGAAAGAGTGCCAGAGCGCAGAGTGCCGCCGCACAAGGCGCACAAGGGGGTATTGTGCGAAGGGGGCCGTGTCTATCGTGCCTCTTCTGCGCCTCCTCCTTCTCCTGCACAAGCACGGGCGCGCGGATCCAGTCCCAAGGGCACCCACAGGAGCCCTGCACAAGGCGCAGAGTGCCCCCCGCACAAGGCCTCCGCACAAGACTCGCGCGAGCACCTGCCTGACTCAAGCTAATACGCGTGGCACCTGCTGGCAGGCTGGCCTCTCACTTGCTGCGCTCACTGCACGGTCGAGGCCGACCCGGGTAATCCCCTGCTTGGGCGCAGGGTGCACCGCGTCCGCGGGTCGGGGCTCCGATGTCGCGACGCAGTGGAGAGAGCCAGCGCCTCCGCATGGGCCCCCGGAACCGAGAGCGCGGAAGATACCTCTCGGAGTATAGTCACCCAGACCCCCTCGAGTCATCAACAAAAACACGACGGGAAGTTCCTCGCTGTTTTCGGCCTCTTGGGGCCCCCACCTGGTTTCGGCACCCTTGAAAACCTGCTCAGGATGAAAAACTTGCCCCGGGGAATGGGTCGAGACCGCTGGGGGTCGACGTCATGAAAAATCCTGACGTCGGAGGTCTGGGCATCGTACTGCCACGAGGACGGCCGAATGAGGAACGGAAAAGTTTCTCTGGCCACGGCTGGCCTCAGCCGTGAGCAGGTTCCCCGACCTGAACCGAAAGACTGGCCCGGAAGCCAGGGGCTCTCCTGAGCCCACAGGGGTCCTTGTTTGAGCACCTCGGTCGTAGCCGCCCACGGGTGGGCGAGGGTGAAACTTGTAGAGCGACCGTTTGAGACTGTCACGCCCCAGCGCCCCGCCGCAGAGCAGCAACAAGCGGTGTCGCGCCCCTCTGCGCCCCCTTTTCACAATACCAACATGAACCACCCTCAGAACAAGCACTCCTACAAACGGAACCCTGTAGTAAACGCGCTGAAGCAAGGAATCGAACAGGGCAGAAACGTCCAGGACCGTGTAGCAAACGCAAAGAATGGAGGTCGGGGTGTCTTGTTCTTTCTGTTTGTTCGGGCTTACGCTTCTCACACGATCTTCTCCCCACTCACCCCTGCCCTTGCCTCCCGCCCTCCTTGACTCCCTGCCTGCCTCCACCCATTTAAATCCGAGTCGTACTTCGTCGTTCTGTATCATCGGTTGTCACTTGCTCGCCTTGCCTGACGTGGCCTGACCTCGCGTCTTCATCAAACTCCGATCCTCGTCGACTTATCTGAATCTTTTTGCGCGCTGGAGACTGCAACGATTACCGCCTGTGCCAAACGCACGTATAATTGTAACCACATTCTTTTGCTGATGAGAATGCAAGTGTAAGAAGAGGTGCATGCACACTTTGCTAATCCTTGGCTTGGCCCGCACTATGGCTTTCCCCCCCGCGTCCGTCAATGGGTTCGGGCCAGCGCCATGACCCTAGCGGGACCCTCAAAAGCGCTTTCTGCAATGCACGGAGGGCCATCCCTGGGCTAGACGGAAACATGGTCGGGGTGGTGACTTTCTCACTCCCTAGCGGGGATGCCTCTACAAGGCTGCTTCCATCTGGACAGCAGTCGTGCTGATGAACCTTGGATCGTCAGCCTGATAACGCCCGACATGATTCATGCTGTTCTTTTCTGGTGCACAGGCAATAGCTAGGACACGTCCCGCAACATGAAGGAACAAATACCTAATCTATCAGTAGCAAGTGGCATGTGTATTCCGCGGACGAGATGGCTGGAATTAAGACAGGCAGGAGAGTAACCGCTGAGAAGGGGTGGATGTCTCGAACTGAGGAGTCCTTGCCGTAGCCTTGCGACCTGTGAGTCAGAAGGTCGATCAGCTCTGGGGCCATGTAATCCAATGTGCCTCGTGCCGCGTTCTCCGATCGGATCAAATGCAATTCGCTAGCGCGTGCCCTTTCTGGCCCGGGGGCGCCTTCCCAAACAAAGTTCCTTCGCGCTCCACAACGGAATATCTAGCTTCAGACCTCGGGCTCCCGCTGCACGCATGGGATGTGGTATGATGTGTCATGGATCGCACACTTAAGATCATGTTGATTTGATAGGTAACGGGCTTAGAAGGAGCTTGGAATACTCGGTGAGAAGGGGCTGGGAGGACGAGAAAAGGACGTACGACATTACTTTGTCAACGACTGATAGCCAGAGAGGTCCTAAACATGCGCTTGAAGAGCCTTTTCTCGTCCCTGGTAATGGTCACGCCGCGTAGCATAACACAAAAAAGACGTGCACACTAAATCGTGCAACAAACAACTGCTGAGACCTCCACACGCACCTACGTACACATATATGAAGATCCCAGCACGCACCATGATCCCCTTTTCCTCTTGGAAGGTCGCAAGAAGAAAAGGTCGGCCAAGTTGCGGGCGGGCGTCGTGGAGACGGAGGATTGGGAGTGGTTGGGCGGAGGGCGGAAGACGAAAGCTGTTGAGTATTGGGTATGGTCTTGAAGACGGAGGGAGTTGAGTAGAATGATCAAGTCAAGGCCATCTTGGGGAGGGGAGCCTGTGGGTGTGTTGTTGGAGACGAAGGCTGTTGAGTATTTGGGGTGGTGTTGGAGGCGGATGGGGGTTGAGTGTACTGCTGTTGTTTATAATGTTCATCTCGGGGAGGGGGCCTCTTGAGCAGTGGGTGTGGTGGGGACGGAGGGAGTGGAAGGATATGTTCAAGGTCATATTTGGGAGGGGGCCTGTTGAGTAGTGGGTGTGGTGTTGGAGACGAAGGCTGTTGAGTATTGGGTGTGGCATTGGTGGCGTAAGGAGTTCAGTAGACAGATGTGTTCAAATTCACATTGGGGAGGGGGCCTGTGGAGTAGTGGGTATGGTGTTGCATAAGAAACATGCATCGAAACATGAGCCTCAACAGTGAATACGAGAGCCGTGCAAATCAAACTAAATACATCCACACATAAAGCGCACCTAGTGGGTGTAGTGTTGGCACCGCCGGCTGTTGAGCAGTGGGTGTGGTGTTGGAGACGGAGGCGGTTGAGTATACGGATGCTTTCACGTTCATCTTGGGGAGAGAAGCTGTTGAGTAGAGGGTGTGGTGCTGAAGACGAAGTATGTTGAGTAGTGGGTGTGGTGTTGGAGACGGAGGGAGTTGAATTGAAGGTTTTTGTAAGCTCATCCTGAGGATGGAGCCTGTTGAGTAGTGGGTGTGGTGTTGGGGACGAAAGAGGCTTCGAAACATAAGCCTCGCATGTAAGTGCGCTAATCGACCGAAACATATTGTATACACTCGTACCTAATACGCACGAAGGGAGACTCAAGGTGCGTGTCCAGAGCGTTCTATGCAAATATCTACGGCAGGTCCGTGTCGTGCCGACCCCAGCGTTGGTTCCCGACGCCGCGCTGGATCGTTCAACCTTGAACGATCGGCCACTGCCGCAACGTCCGATCGTTCAACATCGATCGATTCTGGGTCGCCGGCAGCGTTCAACCTTGAACGCCCGCGCTGGGGTCGCCGCTGGTCGACACGACGCAAACCTAGCGTACATCTGTATGTACATGAGCATGCACACATCCGCCACCGTGCCTCTGGGCACGGAGTGGGCGCGTCCTCCGGTCCTTTGCCTAATCCTCTAAGCCTCAATCCCCACGCCTGAGGAAGCTTTGAATGGCTCGGATCACAAATCCCACCAGCCCTCTGGGCGTAGGAGATCTAGAGAGTTTCCTCTTCCAACCCCCTTCTTCCCATTCTGGGAGGGGTTTACCCCTCCCCACCTCTTTCCCTGGACCTGGACGGGGGCGGTCGCGAGCGGTCAAAGCGTCCAAGATGGCCCAAGAAGGCTCCAAGATGGCCTCTGAGAGCCCAAGATGATGCTCTAAGAGGATCCAAGAAGGTTCCAAGACAGCTCCAAGAAGCCTCCGAGACATCCAAGGAGGCCTCCAAGAGGCCAAAATCATTCTAAAACCTACTGGCAACCAATGATTTGTACCTTCTCGCCTTTTCGCTTCCGATGGCCATCTGAGGCCTCAAAATGGCTCCAAGATGGCCAAAGAGGGCCCCAAGAGGGGCCCAAGATAGACTCAAGACGGCCCCAAGAGCGACCAAGAGCGCCCCAAGAGCGCCCCAAGAGGCGACTTTGGGGGCTCCCGAGGGGCAGCTCTAATTAGGGAACCCCCTTCGTTCGTCGATGTCCTCTAAGATGGTCCCAAGAGCGTTTCGGCTCCCAAGAGCGCCTCAAGAGGGCCCCAATGGGACCCCAAGCGGCCCCAAGAGGCCCCCCCGAGGCACCCAAGACGCCCAAGAGCCCCCCAGGACCGCCAAGAGACCTCCAACACGTCCCAAGAGGCCTCCAAGAAGCGCCCAAGAGACATGCCAAGAGGCTCCGAGAGGCATCCAAGAGACCTCTGGCCCTTTTGCGTGCCCTCCTCCTCCTACTCCTCTTCCTCCTCCTCCTCCTCCTCCTCATCATCATCATCCTGGTCATCTTCCTTCTCCCCACTCCCTCATCCATCCATCCAACCTCCTCCTTCTCCTCCCCCCTCCTTGGCACGGTTCGGCCGTCCCCCTCCTTGCTCCCGCACTTCCCCGATCGTATCAATGCGCCTGGACATCGGTTCTGGATGCGCTGGTGGGGACACGCGACATGTCTGGCATTGCCACGTGCCTTCTCGGTTCTGGACACACGGTTCTGGATGGGCTGGGCTCGCCGCGTGCCCCTTGGGGGCCTCCCGCGTGCCCCCTCGGCTCCGGGAGGCGTTCTCGCGTATCTTTCTCGGGCCCACGGGGCCCTCCAAAGCAGGGCAAGTGGGCCCCAAGAGGCCTCCAAGACGGTCCACGAGGGCCCGGAGAGGCCCAAAGGTCGGCCCAAGACGCCCAAGATGACCCAAGAGGCAAACACCATCGATTTTCCATAGGCTGTTGAAGGATTTTGGCGTTCTCGCCTTGTCGGCGTTCCGACGCTCCAAGACGGCCCAAGAGGCCCACAAGACCACCCCAAAACTGTCCAAGAGGCCTCCCAGAGGGCCCCAAGACGGCCTAAGAGCGCACCAGGACGACCCAAGAGGTGCCCAATACGGCCCCCAAAAAAGAGCCCGAGAGAGTGAACACGAACTGAAACTCCGAGCCTTCCGCCCCAAGAGGCCCCCCCAGGAGGCCTCAATAGGCGCCCAGGGGGCCCCAAGAGGCCCCCCAGAGGCCTCCAAGAGGCCCCAAGAGGCCCCCAAGAGGCCCCAAGAGGCCCCAAGAGGCCCCCAAACGTCCCACAAGAGGCCTTCAAACTGCCGCCAAAAGGCCCACGAAGGACCCCCCACGAGATCCCAACGAACATCCAATAGGCGTCCTACCCACAACCCAAGCACGGTGGCGGGATGGGCCGAAGGCCATTCTATATCCGCCGCCCCCTGTGGTCTTGCCACAGGGGTGCACGGCGTGCTGGACGATTCAGGTTTTGGTTTTGGTTCTTTTTCTAAAAGAACTCCCCAGTGGGCTTCGGCCCGTCCCGCCGGCCACCCGTAAGTTTTCGAAAATCCATCTGTCAATGCCTTTGTTGCCCCAACTTGGCCCAAGATGGCCTCCAAGACGGCCAAGATGGCCCAAGATGGCCTCCAAGATGCCTCCAAGACGGCCAAGATGGCCTCCAAGACGGGTAAGATGGCTCCAAGATGCCTCCAAGACGGCCCAAGATGCCCTCCAAGACGGCCAAGATGGCCCCAAGATGCCTCCAAGATGGCCCAAGAGGCCTCCAAGACGTTCTCCAGGAGAGCCCGAAGAGGCCAAAATCATTGGTTTTCCTTAGGTTTTTGAAGGTTTTTTGCGTTTTCTTCTTTTCGGCCTTCCGACGGCCCAAGAGGCCCCCAAGATCGCCCAAGAGGCCTCCAAGAAGGCCCTATGACGGCCCAAGGGCCCCCCAAGACGGCCCCAAGAGCGCCCCAAGACGGCCCAAGAGGCCTCCAAGACGCCCAACATGGCCTCCAAGACGGCCCTGAAGCGCCCCAAGAGGGCCCCAAGACGGCCCAGAGAGGCCCCCAAGACGGCTCCAGACGGCGTCAGACGGACCAGGAACGCCCTAAGACGGCCAAAGAGACCCCCAGGAAGCCCCCAAAGGCCCCCAAGAGGCCCAAGGAGGCCCCCAAGATGCCTCCAAGAGGCCTCGAAGAGGCCCCCAAGAAGCCCCAACAGACCCCAAGGGTGCCCCAAGAGACTCCTAACAACCCTCATCCTCCTACTCTATTTCTTCCTCTTCCTCTTCCTGTTCATAATCATTCTCTCCCATGTGTTCCCCGAAAGCTTTCCAAACCGACTCGGGGAACTCATGGTCCGATAGCTTGGCCAAGCTCTAGTCCAACTTTCGGCCACATCGGCGTTTCCAAAAAGGCAGGGGGCGGCGGTGATTCGCCGTAGGCGTCTTCGATACACATCGTATCGGTTCTCGAAACCCACGCACGGCGTTCCATCAGGAGTGCCGAAGTCGACCTGTGTGCAGAATGCCTTGCTGAGACCTAGAGCTTGCTGCAAACTGTGGGAAACACGCCGGAAATCACCGTGGAGAGAGCGTGACGAGTTCGCGCTTCCTGCAGCTCGGCAGACGTCCTCAAATGGCAGGAAATCAGGTCGCTTCCTATGGGGTGAAAGCAGTGTCGACTGGACCACAGTGCAGCCCTAATTCGGTTGATGGGAGAAGGACTTCGACGGATGAGGGCTGCGCCGTGGTCATTCACATATTGACCGCGTTAAGGGGATAGCTATTCCAAGCACGATCAGGCTAAAACACATGTGTCCGAATACCGAACGACCACGACAAATAGAACACCGGTCGTCGAACCCAAGAGCAAAGGGCGTGGCACGAACGAGCGGAGCCAATGCCGATATACTATGACCCCTACCGATTGGCTCTGGCCGCGCCGCTGAGCAACGCGCCGTTCTTTGATACCAACAACTCTCCCTTCCACTCTGCGGCGATGCCGTAGTCGATCACCTGCACGGCCGCCCGCGCGAGGAGGGTGCGACGTGCCAGACCAGAACTTGTAGCAGGGGGCAGCTCTTTAAGCGCAGGGCGAGTTGGGCCTTGTCTGCTGGCGTGCACCTTGCAACCTTGCCATTCGCATAGTACGCAAAGAACGTGTGTATACATCTGTGTGTATGTGTGTGTGCATATGTAGGCTCGTCCCTCGCTGCGCTTTTTGTTGTTGACCTTCTCCATCCGCCACTGGACGGACCTGCCTGCACCTGCCACGCGCCTCGTCCTGCAGGCCCCTTCGGTGCCGTTCTCTCCACCTTCCCGATCGTTCCCCCTTTTCCACTGCCCTCTGAATCCACCCTCGCGACTGCCACCTCGCGAATGATGTCGCGTGGTCCCATCTGGGCGGACCTCCCCGCTGCGTGAGCCTTGGCCAGCCCGCGCTACCTCCGCTCCCCGCTGGATTCTGACTCCGCTGCGCCCCCGCGCGGGTCGCCGCGACGCCAACAACAACGTGCATATATAGATACATCTCTCTCTCTCTCTCTCTCTCTCCCCCTCTCCCTCTACATACAAACGTACACCTTAAAGACCAGCAGCCATTGGGTGATGAGGAGGTTGCAGGGGATTGACGTCATCGTTGATGTGCATTGGACGTGCAATTCAACTCACGACTGGGCACAGATCAGAAATTCAACGTAGATGTGTGTGAACATTTACACATGAATATATGTGTAGAGGTTTGTTTGACTGCACACAAATATCTATATATATATATATACACATGACATGTTGTGTGCAATTACACACATAATATTGCTGGATGTGTTCATCTATATGTTTGTGAGGACCGCTGCATATATATACATATACACAGAAGGGTAAAGGTATTGCCATGTATGTGTATATGTCCTTTTGGGTACACTATGCTATGACAGGGCTGCTTCACAAAGCTGTAGAAGCTGTGAAGCCATGATGCTCAGACACATGCACATGGTGCTTCACGGGACTCTGCTTGTCATGTATCAATCGGTTTCGAGGTCTATCGGTCTCACGATCTGCCCCTCGTTTCCACTATCCAGAGTGCACCGTCTGATGTTGTGGCTTCGCTGGGAGCATGGCTTTGGTACCATGGCCTCGGGATAACGATTGGGACAGCAAGCGAGGCAACCATCGGGACAACCACCTAACATCTCTTCACCGATCTCGCGGTCGATCGACCTCACCATCTGTCGGTCTCACTGTTCCTCCATGTGCGCCCGTTAATTCCCGATATATCATGTATGTATGTGTAAATATGTGTATATATATATAGATATATATGTATACCTGTTCACTTTGAAAACTGAAGTTTCCTGAGGTTCCACAAGGATGTCATTCATCCGTCGCTGGTTCATGTTTGTTCGCATGTAGTTTTACTTTTGCACAGGCGCTCATGGTTTTTATTGATGTATCCATAGGTGGCCTTGCTGACGCATGCTTCCACTTTCCCGAATCCTGAATGGGGTTCTTGATTTCCCAGAGCACCTTCTCGGTTCTTCCTTCCTTCCCTCTCCTCCCCCATCTCCACATGCCCTTCTCTTGCAAGTTCCCCAGGTCCTTCTCCTTCGCCCTCCTCCTCCTCCTCCTCCTCCTCCTCATCCAGGGAGGCCCCGCCAGATCGCGCCAGGACATCAAGATTTTGAATAATTTCTCAAGTGTCGTGTCCTCTCTGCTCCACAAGCCTCACCAATGCCACCTGGTCCTCCAAGCAGGCCCCGCCAGCACGCGGCAAGCATCAGGATACTGCGACGTTCATCAGGTTTCTGGTCTTTCCTGATAGAACAAACCTCCTCAACGCCACAAGATATTCCAAGGAGGTCCTGCGAAACCGCGGAATGCATCGGGATACGGTGTTATTCATCAGGTTTCGTGCCTTCAAACTTGACCAGCCTCGCCAGTGCCACCTGGCCCCCGAGGAAGACCGCAGCAGGCATCTGGAGACAGTTTTAATTTATCAGGTGGTATTATCAGATTTCGTGCCCTCCTCACTCCAGAAACCTCGCCAATGTCTCCTGGCCAGGCCTCGCCAAAACGCAGCAGGCATCGGGACACATTGTTACTGCTCAGGTTTCGTGCGCTCCCCACTTGGCCACCCGCGTCAGTGCCACCTGGCACCCCAGGAACGCCCCGCCAGACCGCGGCAAGCATCGCAATACGGTGTTATGTACTAGCTGTCGTGCCCTCCCCACTCCACCAGCCTCGCTGATGCCACCTGCCCCTCCAGGGAGGCCCCGCCAGACTGCGGCAAGCATCGGAATCGCAACACATAGCAATTTCTCATGTGTCGTGCCATCACCACTCGGACAACCTCACCAGTGCCCCCTGGCCTTCCTGAAGGGCCCCGCCAAACCGCGGCAAGCATCGGAGTAAGGTGTTATGTGCTAGCTGTCGTGCTTCCCCCACTCCACCAGAATCGCCGATGCTACCTGCCCCTCCAGGGAGGCCCTGCCAGACCGCGGCAAACATCGGAATCGCAATCTATATATATATATATATATATATATATATACAATTGTCTCACGTGTCGTGGCCTCGCCACTCGAACAAACTCACCAGTGCCCCCTGGCCCACCTGGGAGGCCTTGAAAGACCGCGGCAGGCATCGGGATACAGTGTTGATGTGTCAGGTTTCTCGCCTGCCCCACTCGAGCAACCTCGCACAAGTGCCGCCTGACCCTCCACGGTTTCTTGCCGGAGGAAAGGACGGACAACTTCATGCTGAGGGCCAGAACGCGTTGGATGAGTGACGCAGAGCTTGAGGAGAAGAAAACATGGCGATATATTACATAAACGGCCGCGGACGGTAATGACCCCCCAGGGGTGATAAAGTTCGCGGTTCCCGCGGGAATAATGAAAGGATTCCCTGGGAAAGGTAAGTTATGATGATGATGGTGACGACGATGATGGAGGATGAGGAGGAGGATGATAAGGAGGACGGGGAGGAGGAGGAGGAGGAGGTTAAACCAGGCGCACGACAGAAACCTGACCCGAGCGATCTCGAGGCTCGTGGCTACCTGCCCGCAGAGGCGCACTACACAGAGATTACTCGAGAGATCTCGAGGCTCGTGGCTACTTGCCCGCAGAGGCGCAGGACACAATGCTGACTCGAGCGATTTCGAGGCTCGTGGCTGGGCGCCTAGAGTGCGCCAGCGGCAGAGAGGTCCTTGGCCGATCTGGCCAACAAAAAACCCTCTTGCGCTGGACTTCGAACCGCTCTCTCATGCAAGCGCGGCATACTTGGTGCACCGCTGGGCGGCGGCGCTAGCCTCCTCGTAGGTGCCGTACTTCGGCTCGGCCGCCGTGGGGTCCTTGCAGAGGTTGGACTTGCGCTTGGCCTTGGCCTTGGCCTTGGCCTTGGCCATCGCCGCGTCGTTGTCGCTCGCCTCCTTGAGTTTACTGATGAGCTCGTACCCTCGAACGGCCACGGCGCGGAGACGTGCTGGCATTTGGCGGCCCTCGCCGCGGATCTGTCGCATGGCGCGCTCGATCCAGCGGCTTGCCCAAATACCGCAGCTCCAACCGTCAACTTGGCACCGCATGTTGCTCGGTGCTGGGCAATGCTCGCCAGGGCCAATGGCGCCGAGCTTGCGGAGGATCCTCGCGGCGGCCCAGGGAATTCACGCGCGAACCCTACCCGCGATTTCTGAAGAGGAGGAGGGCGGGGTGCCCTTCGATCGGTAGCTCCCGAGCAAAGTGAACCCCTCCTTCCCCCCTCAGAAATCGCGGGGTGTAGGCGTGAGTTCGCATGTGGCCCTTTTGGGCCTGCTCGGCGTTCTCGGACGGCTGCTCGAGGGCGTCGCGGTAGTCCACCTCGACGCCGCCCCCGTCGATCCTCGAGACCTGGCGGGAATTGCCGCAAGTGCCCCCCTGCCCAGGGCGCCTCCAGGATTCGCTCCAATCCGGAGCGAAACGCTGGAGGCGCCCTGGGGTGGGGGGGCATTGCAGCAACCGCCGACCTTGAGATGCGAGTAATGCGCGGGCGCCTCGGAGTGCACGCAGACCAACACGTCCTGGGCCTTGTCGGCCCTCTCGGCCCAGCGCTTCTGCTCCTCGGGCTGCTGGGCGGCGGGTGCGTCCTCGCCCTGGCCCTCTCGAGCCCGGGCGACGGCCGCCGTGGGCTCGACCGCCGGCACGTTGTCGGGGGCGCCCATTCGCTCCTCAATCTCGCCCAGCAGCGAGTGCACCGTGCCCAGCTCGAGGGCGTTGCCCTTGACGTTCTGCTCGCCGTTCATGATCGCGCACTCCTTGGCGAGCGCGGTGCGGCGAGCGTGTCTTGTCTGGCGCCAGTCGAGCTTCTGCGGCTTGGGGAACTCGTAGTCCCGCTCGATCGTAACCTGTGGCGCTCGGGATTCGCAGGCGCAAGTTAGCTTGCGCCTGCTTCCGCTTCCGCCTGATTCCGTCTGCTTCCGCCTGCTTCCGCGCTTCGCGTTGCTTGCGCCTGCTTCCGCTGCCCCCCCTGCCCTGTCTGCCAACTCCCGCCTGCTTCCGCCGCCCCAGGCAGGGGCGGGCGGGAGCTAATGAGTGCCTGTGGCCCTCGAAGCCTCGCTGGCGTTGATCTGGAAGATCGCCGCTTTCTCCACCTAGAGGGCGCGCGGGCGGCACTCGTTCTCGGCGCCCAGGACTCGCCAGCCGTCCTGCACTCTGCCGCGCCTGCCCTCGCGGTTGCCCTCCTCGGCGACGCGCGCCACCTTGCCGTGCAAGGGGGGCTCCTCGCGAGCCTCTCGGCCGCCTTTCTGCTCGGCGTTGTCCTGCTTCTCGGCGCCCTTCTCCGCTTGCTTCTTCTGCTTGAACCAATGGGAGAAGCTCGCGTGCACCTTCGGCGGCCTGCCTGTGAGCTTCGCCTCGGCCGCGCCTCTGCTGAGGTGCTCAGGCGAGATTTCGCCGCCAGCCTTGCCCTTCTCGCGCTGCCGCTTGCGAGCGTGCTTGCCCAGGAACTGGCCCGCGAACTTGGGCGCTCACTCGTTCTTGCAATTAATT